TGGTCTTTCCTACGCAGGCCTAACCTGATCCTCTCAGTTACTCATGTCTCCTTCCCTGAAAACTTGGTGTTTACTTTGTATTTATTTTATATTTACTTATACATGTTGTTCCTCCCTAAAAGAACTGAGGGCACAAACTGTTTTGTTTTCATCTTTGTATTTCCATCCCCTAATATAGTGCCTGACACGTAGTAAGTATTTAATAAGTGTTTGTTGAGTGAATGAACAAATAAATGATGACAGATATGCCCGGGGACCAGTATTTACACCTTTCCCTGGGCTAGTACTACTGGCGCCCCATAGCTAAATCAGGTCAGAGCAGGGAGAGGCACAGTACCCTGAGCTCCTGTGGGCCCATCAGCAGTATCTTAATCCTGGATGGAACAAGGCAAAAACTATAGGAGTTTTTGATAGCGAAGTAATCTGCTGGGTCATTGAGAACACACAAATTACTCCCATAGAAATTTGTTAAGGTAATTAGGAGCGGTTTGTTTACTGGGAAGAGAAATAGGGTAATGTGGAAGGGGTGGGGTAGGAGGTTGTAGGGTAGGTATTCTCAATAAAGGATTGAGGTGACTGTATTGAGGATAATTTCATAGCCTAGAAGAGGATATTTGAGTTTTCTTTGGCTGATGTAACACCATGGGGATTAGGAAAACCACCAATTATTCGAGTTTGGCGAAATTAGTTCTCCTTGCATGCAACCCTGCTTGGAGTCAGCTGTCCGTCCCCCTTGTACCTTCTTCCTCTTCTGTATACCTCTAGGGTGGGGGTGGGAATTCTAAGAGAGGCTTGCCCATCAATGAATAATAGCTTAGCTAACAACCTTGATTACTGCAATAGCCTCCCTGTGTCTGCCTGCCTCAGGTCTCTCCCCACTCCAATCCATTCTCCATTCTGCCACTCAAGTGATTTTCCTAAAACATAGGCTTGACCATGTCACCCCTCTACTCAATTCCAGTGGCTTCCTATTGCCTCCAGAAACAAATAGAAAATGTTCTGTTTGGCATTCAAAGCCCTTCATGACATAGCCCCCTCCTACCTTTCCAGTCTTCTTACACCGTACTCCCCAGCATGTATTCTTTGTTCCAGTAACACTGACTTTCTGGCTGATCCATGGACAAGACACTCCATCTCCCAATTCTGGGCATTCCCTCATTCCCAGAACACTTTCCCTCTGCCACTGTCTACTGACCTCCTTGACTTCCTTTAAGTCCCAACTAAAATCCTATCTTCTATAGGAATCCTTCACCCCACCCTTCTCAATCTCAGTGCCTTTCCTCTTGAAATTATTTTATATACATATATATATATATATATATATTTAATATAGCTTGCTTTGTATATATTTGCATGATATCTCCCCAATTCAATTATAAGCTTCCTGAGGTCAGGGACCTCACAGGGATCAACACATAATGTCTGTTGCCTCTTTTTGTATCCCCAGCATTTAGCACAGTGCCTGGCACACAGCAGTTACTTAATAAATGCATTTGATCGGTTGATTTATAAAATGCTTGCTTTCCAAGCTAAATAGGCCTCCATTTGAAAATCATTTGTAGTGAATGAACCTTTGAGTCTTGATGACTTGTTTCAAGAGGCTCAAAATAAAGTGATCACATCATCCTTACCCTGCTATGTAGATGGCATTACATGAAAGGACCAGGTGAGGTATTTTGTCAACCAAGTCAATACAATAAAAGACCCTGCCATTAGAGCTCTTACATAGTAATGGACTATATCAGGGAAAAGTCAACTGAGTTCTTCTTGAACTTGGATGCCACCTACAATAGTAGGACAGAAAGTCCTCAAGGGCTGAGTCCATTTCATTTTCTTTGTCTTCTTATCCCTGCTCATCACAGCATCTGGCACATAGCAGGTGCTTAATTAATGCTTTTTGAATTGAACTGATCAGTATTTAGGGACTTTCAACATTTACGGGAGTGCTAGGTTGCCTATCACCTGTGCTAACAAAATAAATGAAACTAGGAGCCCATACCAAGGTGCTAGAGAAACATCCAAACTTTGAGAATTTCTGTTCTGAAGATTCTGAAAGTTTATGGAAAACAGGTAATTCTGTTTATTTCAAATCTGAATATGACTAATGTTTCTGACTGGCTTCAGTGTTCTTATATTTGGGCAAGACTGCTCTAGGAAGAGATGTTCTATACATTGGGAGTTTCTACATATGAACACTTAATAAAAAGAGAACTAGAAATAGGCAAGGTAGAAAAGTGAAGGAGAAAGATGCTAAGGTATGTCTGATCATGATCAACACATAATGTGAAGTTGTACTACAGACAGAGCCTTAACTAGGATGGGGCCAATGGTGCTTTTCCTAGGGTACTGTCTTCCCGAAGGGACACACTTCTTTCCCTGTGAAATGAAGTCAACTGTACTCCTTCACCCAGCCCTAGACTACTACCTCTAGAGTCTCAACAATGGTACCTCTCTCCTAGGGCTCACCACCCTACCTCTTCAACTGATTTCCCCCAGGCACAAAAATTCCTACTTACCACTCTGACTATAAAAGAAACCTCTCACCTACAAGCTAACTCTTCTGAGTATAGTTCATCTGTGAGTAGAAGGTTTCAGCTGGGAGGTACTCATGCCTACTACAATTTGCCCCTTGGTTAACCACATGACTGCACAATCTTTTTAAATTCCTACCATTCTTATCTCTGTGAAAGGTCAAAGTCATGACCTAAGGGACTCTTCCCAAGGTGGGGAGCTAGAAAGTTCTGCTGCCCATACAATTTCTAAGTGGACATCTTTGAGAAGATACCAGCTTCCTCACTCTTCAGATAGATCCAGGTTAAACCTCAGTGGGGGTATTTGACCAGGTGGAGAGGTGAGCTCACAAACCACATTCAACCCAGTGTGGCCTTTCCCCCAGCAATCAACAAGCATTGAGCACCTACTATGTGACCAGTCCTGTACAGAGCAGCTATACAGGATTGTAAAACCCACTGGATCATCTAACAAGCTATAACAGGGATGTTTTTCTACTCAGTCAGGGGCCAAAACTCCTAAACAAACGCTTTCCTTTCATTCACTTCTAGGGTGGAGAAAAGGTGCTTTCATTTATGCAAATCAAGCAGCTTCCGGGAGATAAAAATGAGTAAAATGGAGGTTTAACCGATAACATACTTTTTGGCTGCTGCCTAGGTCTCATGTCATGCAATCTTTATTCTGACCCATGCCAGGTTGCTCTGCTGGAGGAATGACAAAAGGAGCCTGTTTGAAGGGATGCATCTTGGAGCCAGCACAATCATAAAAACATGTTGATTGTGCATAGTATTTACCAGAAAGGCAGAGGCTGGTCCAATCCAGATAATTTATTTCCTGCTCTTACTATTGCATTGGGTTCAGCGGTCTGCTCAATCTATTGATTCTCTAGGGGACACCATTCTGTCATGAAGTGTGGAACAGTGGAAAGAATGCTTGATTTGGATTCAGAGGACCTGAGATTGAATCCTGCTTCTGTCACTAAATACCTGTAGGATTCTGGGAAAACTGTGTTACATCTCTAGGTCTCAGTTTTCTCAGACTAGATGATCTCTAAGGCACCATCCAGATCTAAATCTATGATCTTATGAACCATCCTCTATAAAACCTCCTAAAACATCTTCTGAGGACTTCCAAAGGCTTTATAAACAATTGGCAGAGGCAAAGATTGTCTGACCATGAGGTGGTTTATGACCGGTCATCTAGGTCATAGAAAAAGAAGTGGCCAGAGACCTGGTTTTATTCTCAACCCTGCTTTGGCCAAATCATTTAATTTCTTTGGATTTCTCTTTCTTCATCAGTGAAATGGGAGGCTGGATCAAGTCATCTCTAATGTCCCTTCCAGCCCTAACGTTCTATTTCACACGTAAATCTCAGGCCCTTCACTGCTGAGCCAATTCAGGAAAGGCTTAATTTTAAGGCTTAACTAACCTAATGCCACACTCTCGTTTTATGGTTCTGTCTCGCTGCTGCAGTGTCTCCCCTCCCCCTTCTTGTTCTGGCCTCAGTAATTAAATTAATCAATCAATATTGCCATACTTACCATTATTTCTGGAAAGAGCATGCCAATGGGCAGCCCTATGGATCGTCTCAACATCCCTGTGACTCCCAAGACACACTCTTCTCTGGTTAACACTCTTACATGTACACACACACATATATGCATATATATGTATAGTTATACATATAAATTTGATAGATATAGATATATGTGTGTGTGTGTGTGTGTGTGTGTGTATATATATATATTTATTACACCCTCTTCCCATTGGAATGTAAGCTCTTTGAGGGCAGGGACTATCTTACTTTTTTATCTGTAAGCCTAGGGCTTAGCAGAGTGACTGGCATGAGGTAAGTACCTAATTTTTTTCATTCATTCATTCATTCCTGGAGACCTTTGGTTATAGAATGAGCTTTTTTATATCTGAGTATATTACCCTATTTAATATTTTAGGGAATAGTTTAGGGAAGTGGGGTAGCAGGTAGCATAGCTGCTGGATTCACATCCTTTGGAAAGGAGCAATAGAGACAGAACTAAGGACCCAGAGAACCAGCCAGTCTTTTGCAGCCCTTCATCCATGGTGTGAATTTTGCTAATTAAGATTAGTTCTCGACTATCTAAATCCACTCGCATATTGCAAAATGGCTTGTTCAGAGTTTATATGGAAATTTTCCTATAGTGTCCTACACAGCTATATGAAGGGTACAAAGGAAACTTGTAGTTAAAACCTTGCCATCTCCCCCGCCCCCCCCATCTCCAGGCCTCAGTTTCCTCATCTATAAAACGAGGTTTAGAGTTGGACTGAATAAGGGCCCTTCCAGCTAGTTTAAATCTCTTATCCTATGAAAAACAAAAGGCATTGATAAAATCTTAAAATAAAATAATAAAATGGAGGGGCTGAATTATGTAGTCTCTTAGATCTTTTCCAGCTTTTAACACTGATTACATAAATGTCAATGTAGCAAATTTCCCCCCCATCTCTTTCACTTACCTTGAGGTCAAAGTGAGCAATTTTCTTGGCATGCAGGTAGTTAACGCCTTCCAGGATTTGCTTAATGAAACTGGTTGCTTCTTCCTCACTCAAAGACTCTTTCTGTGCCAGGAAATCAAAGAGCTCTCCTCCAGAAACTCTGGAAGATAAAGTGGTGGGAGCTAGAACTTAGAGAGCTCTGGCCAATGGGACACTTAGCTATGGAAAACACCCATCCAAAACTGACCCTCCTTGACACCCAGATGAACTCTTTATTTTCTCTGAATCTTGACACCTGTTATTTCCCCCGAGCTGGGCTGAAACTATCTGCTGTATAAAATTCACTCACCTCCTCTGTATTACAACACCCTATAAATCATCATCATCATCATCAAAAACATAGCTATTATTTACATGGCACTTTAAGGTTTGCAAAACGCTTTGCAAATATTACCTCATTTTAAGCCTAGCAACAGCTCTGGGGCTTAGGTGCTATTATTATCCCCATTTTAAAAACTGGGAAACTGAGACAATAGTTAAGTGACTTATCCAGGGTCACATACCTAGCAAGTGTCCAAGGCAGGATTTGAACTCAGGTCTTTTTCTCTCTAGGTCCACTGTTGTATTTACTACTCCACTTAGCTGCCTCATAATACATATACACACACAGACCCACATATATACATACACATACATATATACACACACATGTATACAGAGGTAGCTAGATGACTTAGTTGATAGAATGCTGTGACTGAAGTCAGGAGGACTCAAGTTCCCAATCCAGCCTCAGACACTTATTAGCTGTGTTACTGTGCGTAAGTCACTTAACCCTGTTTGCCTCAGTTTCCCCATCTGTAAAAAAAAAAAACTAGAGAAAGAAATGGCAAACCACTCCAGTATCTGTGCTAAGAAAACCCCAAATGGGGTCACAAAGAGTCAGACATGACTGAAACGACTGAACAATACACGTGTACATTATAACATCCCCCTGGGTCTGCACATCTCAAGCTGTCATCAGAAGACCTCCTTGTTTCTGTGTTTCTTCTCTATAGATATATATGTTTGTTCTTTGGATTGTAAACTTAAAATGAGAACAACATCAAAATATATGACTTCAGAAACACACTAGGCCCCCTGAGAGTCCATCTAACTGGTTTAAGTAGTGACAAATGGAGTCCAAAGAAGCCATAGGAAAGGAGAAGAGGATCAGAGGGTCATAGGTGCAGAGCCCCAAGGTCATCTAACTAGGTCAAATAACAAAGACAAGAATTAAGAAATCCTGGCTTAGGTTCAAGGACTCTTCACTCTCATTCAACCCACATATTCATTCCGTTGCCAAATCTTGTTTTTTTTTTAACCTTTATAATATTTCTCACATGTATCCTCTTCTCTCCATCCGATGGCCACCATCTCTAATTCAGGCCCTCATCACCTCTCGCCTAGACTATTGCAGCAGCTTCCTAATGGGCCTCCAACTCAAATCTCTCCCTGCCCCAATCCATCCTCCACCCAGTTGCCAAAATAATATTCCTAAAGCACAGACTGGACCCATGTCACTCTCTGGCTCAATAATGTGCTATGGATCCCTACTGCCTCTTACTGTGAACACAAATTTCTATTTTGTACCTGGCTCCAATCTTCCTTACTTCACACACTCCACCGTGGTCCAACCAAACTGGACTTCTTTCTGTTGTTTACACTGGCCATTTCATCTCCATCTCTGTGTCTCTGCATGGCTCTGTCCCCTCCCACCTGCTGGCCCTAGAATGCATTCCCCGAGATCTGCCTTTTAGAATCCCTAGCTTTCCTTCAGTATATGGTTCAAGTGATTCCTCTTGCCATGAGGTCTTTCCAGACATCCACAGCTCCGAGTGCTTCCTGTACAAAATTAGCTTGCACTAACTTTGGGCAAATTTTGTGTCTGTTTATATGTGTGTACATCAACCAATCAACAAGTACTTACTTATTAAGAACCTACCACGTGCTACGAACTGTTCCAAGTGTTAGCAATATAAAAACAAAAACCAAACAGTCCCCTTCTTCAAGAAACTTACATTCTATTGGGGCAGACAACAGGTGCATAGGAAAGACACATAAATTAAATACAAGGAAATTGGGGGAGGGGCTGAGAGAGGTAGGGATGGTAGGCTGTTACCCTGGATAAAATGTGAGCTCTTTGAGGGAAGAGACTTTCATTTCTGTCTTTGTACCTCCAGAGCCTAGCACAGTGTATTCCTAGTGGAAGCTCAATGAATGTTTCTTAATTGACTAAAGGATTGCTTGGACCCTCCAATAATTAAGAATTACATAAAATATTAATTGAAGCCCAGGATGAAGATTTATTTTGGTCATATTTTATACACCTAGATTACTGTCTGCTTTCTAGCACCAGATGCCATGAAAAAATGTTTTGCCTCAGACAAATATTTTTCCTTTAGTGGTGGCTGGTTTGTTGGTTGACTGTTTGGGAAAAGTCCTTTTCTGCTGGAATTTTCTTCCCATTCCCGCTTATCCTCAAGAGACCTGGGAGCCTTCCTTCCGCTCAAGCTGTATCACAGTGGACAGCCTTTTCTTGTACTCAACAGCCCAACAGCTGTGTTCTGGTGACATTGATGGGTTATAGAAAAAAGGATATGGGAAATTCATGGTGTAAACACCCTGTGTGGGGTATGTGCCTAGGAACTATTGTGTTTTTTGAACTTATCACAGAATTCTGGATCAAGGGGTCACATAAATTAGCCCCTTATCTCCAGGAAGAGCCACAAGCACCTAAAGTAGCATAACCATCACTTTCCTTTCTTTAAAGGTCATTAAGGAAGTAGTTTCCCTATTCTCCCTCAGTTACCCATCAGCAATTTTCATCACATGTAAGTTCTTCCTATTGCCTAGATTAGAGATATCAAATATAGGCTCCCCATCCCACATTAAAATGTAATTGGGAAACATTTAACAAAGTAAATAAAAATACAGTAAAACACAGATACTGTTAATATGCGATTTTCTGAGTCAATATACCATCCACGGGAATCAGTTGAGTGGCCCTGGTTTCTATTTGAGTTGGGCATTACTAGTCTAGGCTAACCCATTGCCTCTGAAAGAGCTCTGTTGGGGAGATGACACCCTCTACCACACCTAATCCCCCCATCCCTATTTTGGGTATTCTCCACCCTAAGAGTCAATCCAGAGGTCGGTGAGGCTGATAGTCATTAAATTCAACAATTTAACAATCATTTATTAAAGACCTACTATATACTAATGCCCTCTTCTAGGTGCTGGGGAACAAGGAAAGAAATAAGCACTTATTAAGCGCTTATTGTGTGCTGGGTTCTGTGGATAGAAAGACAAAAACAACAGTTGTCCCTGACCTCAAGAAGCCTACGTTCTTCTGTGGGAAAACGACATGTACATGGATAAATAGATACAAAGTACACATAGACTAAATATTAAATAATGAGATGGGTCATTAATAACTGAGGAAGTAGGAAAGGACTCAGGTATAACACTTGAGCTGAACCTTGAAGAAGGCTAGTGATTTCAAAAGATGGAGACAGAGAATTCCATGCTTAGAAAACAGCCTATGTCTCATCACCAAGTCAAGAAATGGAATGCCATAAAAAGAGAACATTTAATAGGCCAATTTGTCTAGAATAGAGATTACAATGGGGGGTGGGGGAGAGATAATATGAAATCGGTATGGAAAGATAAGCCAAAGCCAGATTGTGAAGAGATTTAAATGCCAGAAAAAGGAGGGTTTTCTTTATGTGCGTTTTTTGTTTTTTTGTTTTTTGATCCTGGAAGCAGAAGGGAACCACTGAGGTTTTTTGAGCACAAGAGAGACAGACACACGTTTCAGCAAACAAGGTTGGGGTGGGGGAGAAGTGGTGGAGAAATTTTTTCTATTTAAATAAAGATCTTTCATACTAGTCTCTCTCCTAAGTCTTCAGTGGATTGCTTTTAAAAAAAAAAATACCTGAGAATTGGCATACAAACATACCATTAGCCCCATAATACTGCAGCCTCCTCTTTGTCATTAGCCAAGTACGTGGGCATTCATTCCCCTTTCCTCAGGATGGATACTTCGCCTTGGTGGCTTCTCTTTTCCACCAAGGCTGCCTTTGTCATATCTAACCTACCTTTGGCTATCAAAACGTCTACAACATGTGGGAGGCATAATGGGAATAGCCCAGCAAAAATGACCCTGCTGGCCAGACTCTCACATCCTTTTTCTTTTTTTTTTTTTGTTTTGTGTTTTGTTTTTAGGCAACTGGGGTTAAGTGACTTGCGCAGGGTCACACAGCTAGTAAGTGTCAAGTATTTGGTCTGAGGCCACATTTGAACTCAGGATCTCCTGACTTCGGGGCCAGTGCTCTATCCACTGCACCACCTAGCTGCCCTCTCTCACATCCTTCTTGAAGTTGCTACAGTGAAGGCTCATTGACAGAGGCAGTCTAGCTGTCATGGAAAAGGCCCTGGGTCTGAAGGCAGAAGACTAGGACTGAAGTCCAGCTCTGATACCAACCTTGTGTGTGACCTTGAGCAAGTCGCCAGACATCCTGGGGCTGCAATTTTTTCATTTGGTAAAGGAGAGAATACTGCCAACTCCTAAGGGGTTGTGTAGAGGGTCACATGAGATAATTTAATTTTTATATATTTACTTTTATATTTAAAGTACTCTAAAAACTAGAAAGTTCTATAGAAATGTCAGTTATTCAATCACATGTACCCAGTTCAGTGTGGGGAGGGGGAAGATGGAGACTGGGGAGAAAGAGAGGCAGGATGCAGTGGGACAGCAGGTCTAATGTGCAGCCTGGGTCAATTGTCATAGTCTGAGGGGTAGAATTTCAGGGATTTCTCACTCCTGGACCCTCTCCTGACCCATCACTACCATCTAGAATCTCTAGATCAGGAATGTTAACCTCAGGTCTGTGAATTTGGTGGTTGGTTTTTTTTTTTAAAGATGTTTTGATAACTGCTTTTCAACATAACTGGTTTCCTCCGTAATGCTACCTACAGAGTATCCTGAAAGTCTTTGTGAAGCTTTAAGTTCCAACAGCTTTAATTGCATAAAATGGCACTGGGACTTTTAGGTTACTCTGTATTTTATTTTATGCATGTGAAAACATTATTCTGAAAAAGAGTCTACAGGCTTCTCCATAT